CCGTTGCATTTGGGCTGCTGGGCGCCAGGAGGGCAGATGGTCCTGCCAGAACTCGAGGCCCTGGTTCTTCTACAACTCCCATCATAAATAACACTGGTTGGTTCTCATAGCAGGTTCATCACAATCAAACGTTTTTTTTTTTTTTCAACTTTCGCGGTCAGATGCCGACCTTACATTGCAATTTATTTATTTTTTTTAGGATTTTCTGACATGTTGGCTGAGGATGAATTCCTGAGATCGCCACCGAGGAAGACGGTCAGATTCGGTGGTACTTTGGCAGAGATCCTACTGAAATATCAACAGGTAAGGCTGTAGGTGGCGTTTGCAAGGAAAAAAAAACCACATCAAATGTATGGGATGCGCTCGTGACATTTTATTTCCTGTTTTTAATACTGATAATTCATCCTCAAGGAACTGTTTTTCCTCCACTGATGAATTATTTCTGCTATATCTGGGGGAAAGGATTTGTGGAGTTCTTTATCATAATCATCTACTTTTGACGACCCCATAATCCCTTGTGGGGTGGACTCTGGGCAACTGAATGGAGCTGGAGTGTTTACTGGCCGGATGCCCTCCCTGTGTGCCCAGAGAGAGAGAAATATCTGCCTCTACCTAGGATCGAACTCACAGCCTCCTGATGGTGAGGCAAGAGCTCCACCTCTAGGCCACCTTACCGCTCCTGGTGGAGTTCTTTATGCAGAGCTCAAAGTTTTCTCTTTCAGGGCAAGACCGCTGAGTTTGATTTGCTGAAGCATCAGCTGTTGGATCCAGACATAAAAGTAAGGTTTCTATAAATATTCAAATTCTCTGAAATGCCTCCTTAGATTTAAGAAAGGATGAAATACATAATTTGAATCTCTTTGTCGTATTCTTTATGGGTTATACTTTATAATTGCTGATGAGCCATTATGTTACCAAAACACAACCTGGAAGATGAATCCAATCAGATTTATAAATTCATTTTTTAAACCAAATATTATATACACATTTTTCTTAAATTCCACCACTATTTACCAGGTTTAGCAATCACAAGTTTACCTAGTTCTGTCATCTGTCAGCTATATTGGGAAAACTACATTACCCAGTGGACTTTGCCATTTGCAAATAGCCCTGCGAGCTTGCCAAGCATTTCAGCTGGGAGGGTCTACATCCTTCTATGACAAAAGAATGACAGTGACAGTAAAATAAAAGGTTTCATATGCATATGAGAGGTGGGTCTAATTTATTGGGTCTCTTTGAACGTCCAACTAGATTACACAGGTACTTAATTTCTCCCATTCTGTTGCAGGCAGCTGGTGAATAGTTTTCCTAGGAAAGTGTAGGACAAAACTCCAAATAGAAGAAAATTTTTGTAGCTCAGGGTTGAACTGTGAAGGTCCTTGATGCTCTCTAAACTTGTTTCCTTGCAGACATTTTATCATCCAACTAGATAACTCCAGTGCTGGAAGGAAGACAAAGAGCAAACCTCACTCCCTTCTAGCACGGATGATATTACCTAGTTGGGTAATGTAACGTCTTCAAGAGAACAACCAAGCTCAGATAGCACCAGGGACCCCACAAAACTTTAATTCTTCTGCTGTTTTAAAATTGAGAGGCTAATCTAGCTGTCACACTTGTGACAAGCAACGTGGCAGGCTCTTAGTCTAATGGTCTTTATCTTAAAAACAAACTAATCTCTTCCCCCACCCCAAGCTAAAACTTTTTGACAGCCAACGTGATTCAGTAATTAAGATACAATGGCTTCTATTTTTAGGATGATCAGATTATTAACTGGCTCTCTGAATTCCGGTCTTCTATTACATTTTTGACCAAGGAGTTTGAACAACTAATTACCATCCTGTTGGTAAGAATTATCCGATTGCATTGGGTGTGCTTTTTGCTTTGGACTGGGGGCAGGCGGGGAGGGGCACAACAGATGCTCCCAATTTCTGATCCTGTTGTCTCTAAAAATGTAGAAAGTGCCATGGTTGAGAAGAAGCCAGTCTGTGGTGGAAGAATATCTAGCTTTCCTGAGTAATTTAGTGTCTGCTCAGACAATCTATCTTAGGCCATGCCTGGCAATGATCGTCTCGCACTTTGTACCACGTAAGTATTTTTTTTCCCCACTTTTACTTGAAAGAAATAGAATATAAAATATTTAATAGCTCCCCCTCCCCCCCCCCAAAAAAAATTAACCATCCTCCCCTAAGAACGCAAATACCCAACTTAAAAAACAAGTAACAGGAAACAGAAAGACTCTCTTGTATACCTCACCTCAAATAGAACGAATCTACTTTGGAGGAGGGAAAAATAATTCTTCAGTGTTACAAAAAAATAATAATAAAATCTGTCTTGAGGAGTCCTCGCTGCTCTCTGACATCATCCGTGCTAGCCAATAATAGTAGTAGTAATAATAATTTGTCTTGCCAAAAAAACATGCTATTTCATTTTCGATTAGTAGGTAAGATTGCCTTTTTGCCCCGATTAAAAATAGCACTTGTGGTTTCTCATTTGTTTATTTTAGAATTTATAATAGGAATTCGAAGCAAGGAAACTTGGGTTCACAGCCCCCAAGGGAGCAGTTGTAAACCTCTTAAGGAAAACTGTGTTTTTGATTGATCATAAAATGTTCTGCAAGGCTTTTTTGTGGATCAACTAGATAACTGATTACAAGCCCCTCTTGTTTTTACCCAGCCCGAATAACCATCCGGGAGAATGACGTGGACATCTCCGATTCAGACGATGATGAAAGTGAGTGCTTCCTTTTTTGTATTTCTTGACTGACTTCTTTTATCCTTATGTACTCTGCCCATTTTGGATATTATTTTTTATTTTTCTAGCTGGGTTTCTGCACCCAAGGGAGTGTTACTTGATTCAGGGTGGTCCTGGTAAAAGCTGGAGTCCACAGGTTAACTTCAACTTACAGCCAGTCCTCACGCTCATCATAGCATACCCATGATCACATGACCAGATTTCAGGCACTTGGCAACCAGTATGTATTTACGATAATTGCCATGTTCCGGGGTCATGTGATCATGTGGTGACGCAGTGGTTAGAATGCTGAATTGCAGGCTAATTCTGCCAGCTGCCAGCAGTTCGATCCTGACCGGCTTAAGGTTGACTCATCTTTCCATCCTTCTAAGATCGGTAAAATGAGGACCCAGATTGTTGGGGGAAAATAGGCTGACTCTGAAAAACCGCTTAGAGAGAGGGCTGTGAAATGATGTATAAGTCTAAGCGCCATTGCTATCATCATTTGCAACCTTCCCAGCCAGCTTCCGACAAGCCAAGTAAGTACGGGAAGACGATTCACTTAATGGCTGCGGTTAATTGCCATGGCAAAAAGAGGTTATAAAATCAGGCAAAACTCACTTAACAACTGCCTTACTTAGCAATGGATATTCTATACCCATTGCCCATAAATCTTGAATGTGCCTGGTCCTTCAGTGTTCAGAACCTAGAGTCTGCTTAGACATCATGACCAGTTGAGCGATTGCTCCTCCGTGATCGCGTAGATCTCTTTTGCAACCCTCCAAACCAAGGGCCGGCATTTTTCAAGCGCAGCCTTTTCCGAACCTGGTGCCTTCTTTCTGTTGACAACTATAAAACGTGTAGAGAAAATGTTTTACGAGTTGACACCAGACCTGTTGTTTTGCAATCTCTGCAGATGTTGTCGAGAGCTTCACTACCTGCCACAGAGCATTGCAGACAATTGTGAAATACGTCCCTCTGTAAGTTAAATATCTTTGATTTTGTGGGCCGGGAAAGACAATGTGTAACATAAGCTGCTTTTTGGTTGCCCCTAGGTAGAAGTGGCAGAACCTGGGGGTAGAATAAAAAGGGGGATCAGCCTCGAATCCCTACATAGTCACAAGAGAACTAAACCCAACCCTACCTGAGTGCTGTTTGCCCTAACCTAATTCTAACAAGGTCTCGACTGTTAATTGAGAGGATTCCTATACATTAACTTTTAACAACCAGTTTAATTGAAGCTTCTTCACATGTCTTTCATACTTGACATGACATAGCCCCATCCAGCCAAGATTCCAGAAAGTATCAACATTGCCCCTCCATGTGCTAAGGTGGGAAACACATGAATATCCCTCCCTATAAACATATTACTATTAGAACGCAAACCCTTAACTTTTCACCACAAACCCAGCCCTCTACATATAAGTGATGTGACCTCAACCTCTCCAACATTGTCCTAGCCATCCGAATATTGCCACTCCGTGCTGCATCTTCAAAGCAAATATTTTATTCATTTATTGTTAAGCAAATGTCAGGGCTCCAACAGTTACCCCCATTTAAATCATGAGTCTCTAGCCAGAACTTCGAAAACTTAAAAGAAGATTTATTAGGAGTAAACATGCCGGCGCTGCCTGCAGACTCTAAGACACATCATTCATTGTCACCCTTGACCCTGGTTTTCCCTCCACCCACCCCGGGTGTATCATAATTCATATTCTCCAACGGGACACATCCATAGCCAAGAATCATCAATCATGCTCTCCAGTTAGAATTTTGCGCGGCAGAAACTTCGGTCGCCTGGAAACTATCTTTGAAAACTATTTATGGAATGCAAGCTGCTAACTGCTCCCACCGCCCTTTCTGTTGTCGACTCTAAAAAGACCATAGAAATATTTTATGAGTTGACATTAAATGTATACGGTTACCCAATTCTCACAACAGGGGATTCTGGGCGACTTATGACATTAAACATTCACAACATCAAACCCCATCCCATGGTAGCAGCAACACAATCAGACCAACCACATGGTTGGCTTCACCTCCATACATGATCCCTAGGCGCACTGACAAAACCTTGTTTCCATGGGTTTTTTTGGAAAAGTAAACCGTACCTCAGAAAATGATATTCCATAGAGAAGGGGAAACCTTTAAACACATTCAGAATCATCAAACACGCACAGGACAGACGGGAACAGTATTATCCATTTCAAGCCATTTGTAGACTAGGAATTGATAATGGTGTGATCAGTTCTGGGAGCACTTTTCCAAGATTGCTGAATCTGTGTTTGCTCTTCTCGGCTCCTCCTTAAACCTTGTCTGTAGTCCACACAACAAAATAAATAAAGGTTGGGTTTGCTTATCTCTGGCTTGTATTTTCTGTGTTGTAGGACGCCACAATTTCTCATGCCAGTGCTGGCTGAAAAATTTCCCTTCGTTAATAAATCAGAAAGAACATTAGTAAGTACCCGATTTTCTGGAAATGTAGATTCTTTAGTGCTTCTGGTATCTGCTGCTCATTTAATTAAAAGCCGCTTTTAAAAAAATCTGTTAGTGGAAAATGTGATCTTGACGGCTCAGAAACTCAGATACATCATGATTATTACTGTGAAGGAAGTCGTCTTCTCCTTTGGATATTTAATTATTAGTTTTGTTTATCTTTGCTAAGCCCAGTGTGTTTGGTTTGGTTTTATTTTCCCATTCTGTAGAAGTGATTCTGGTTTGCACAGCATGGCTTGTGGCTTAGCATATGTGAAATTAATGAGTTGCAGTTTAATAGACAATAAACAAATCCACTGATGTATGAACCCCAGTTGCTTTCTCAGATAAAATATCTCTGGTGGATATATTGTGTCCAAGCAGTATGATAAAAACTGGATTTTAAAGAATTCTTTATTTAAATACATGATGATGCTTAAATAGGATGTAAAAATTGAAGGTCCCCAAATTAGTTTCGCTTAGTTTTCTAGATGTGATTTTTAAAATTCCTTGATAGCGTTTTCATGGGGAATTCTTCCATTTCAGCAATGTTATCTCCATAATTTGCTACGAATAAGCGTATATATCCCAGCGTTGAGGCATGACATTTTGGAGCTGGTTGTTGAGAAGCTGCTAAAAATTGATGTAAGTACAGAATGCTGTGAATTGTGGTTGTTTATAAAGGGTCTCCATAATTCCCCTTGCAAAAACTGGCTTAACTTTTACAAGCTTCATATTCTTCAGTAAACGATACTGCTCTGTTTGTATTTACTGAATTATTGGGCAGTGAGATAAGGAATATACTTGTTATACATTGATAAAGGAGAATATTTGCAGCTCAGGGTTGAAATGAAGGGGCCCTTGATGCTCTCTGAGCTTGGTTGTTTTCTTGCAGACGTTTCATTACCCAGCTAGGTAACATCATCAGTGCTAGAAGGAGCGTGGTTTGCTCTTGCTTCCTTGAACACTCTCCTCCCAGCCCTGGTGATGTTACCTAGTTTGGGTAATGAAACGTCTGCAAGAAAACAGCCAAGCTCAGAGAGCACCAAAGACCCCTCACTTGTTATACAGTTCTGTACCTTGACTATAACTTCAGAAACACTCAAGCTCATCCCATTTTAATTCAACAGGTAAGTGCCCCAAGAAAAGATATTGAAGCTGCCGAAGAAGACGAAGAAGGAAGCAATGAGAAGGGACTGTTCAACATGGTAAGTTTGTTCATTAAACGGTATCAATACATGTGTGCGCACACACATACACTCATTATCTTAAATCTTACGGGCCGAATAGCTTTTTTTAACCCTTTTAAGGAATAGTTTCTTAGCAGGAGATGTAACCAATTTTTAATCTTGGAGTTGATTCCCATTGCTGCTTCAAAGTTCTCTTACTCAAATCGTAACTAGATGAGTTTTATTGTAACCTGCTTTGTGTGTTAACATAAAAAGGACACATTTGGCAGTGAGCTCAGATGCTACATGTAGGCTGGGTCTGATTTGTAGTTGCCCGTCTTTATCAGAGCTCCTAATTGCAGCCCAAGAGTTGGATTTGTACGGTGTTTTTTCAACCCAAACCACATAAGCCTCAATGTAACTCAAGTGACTTGGAAACCATAGTTTATAGCAGTGGTCGACAACCAGTGAGCAGACCACTGGTGGTCCACAAGAAAATTTTGGTGGTCCTCAGATAAATGTCACTCCCAAAGCACACACACACACATACCCCAAGCAATTAATGTGGAGTGTGAAGGATGTGTTTTTGTGTTTATTTTCATGGTCATGATGTGCACTGAAGATGGCGTTTGATTTCGTTGTACGAGGTGCAATAACAATAAAGTAAACTAACTAATCCAGGCTGCGCAGGAACACAAGGCTGCGTCGCCCACATGGCCTGTGGGAACACAAGGCTTGCGTCGCTTGCATTGCAAACAACATGAGGTAGTGAGGGGAGAAAGGGCGGAGGGGGGGAACTTGCCCCACTCGCCTGGCCTGGCCACCGGGCTGCTTCCTTCCACTTCTTTCTTCTGCTTTTGGCTGCACGCAAGGAAAGCAGTAAAAGTCTTTCTTTCTCTTCCCCAAACTCTGCCAGAAATGAGTCTTTGGGACCCTGTAAGGCATCCTGCTCCAAGAGGCTGCGCCAGTGCGACAAGTCTCACAAAAACTCATTTCTGGTGGAGTTTGGGGCAGAGAAAGAAAGACTTCCGCTGCTTCTGCTGTTTTCCTTGCATGAAGCCAAAAGTCTCTCCCTCTCTCTCTCTCTCTCTCCCTGAGAATGGAAATGGAATTGGTATCCTGCGATCCCAAATAAAGAACGATTGATCGGTAGGAAAATGGGGTGGGGGATTTTCCCAGAGTCTCTGGTCCGCGGGATTTAAAATTATGAGTTTGGTGGTCTCTGAGGTCCAAAAGGTTGGCGACCTCTGGTTTATAACTTAGCTTGGGCAAAGGGATATTCACGGTCCATTACTCAGAGAGCAGGCCTTAATCCAATGTGCAGCTGACTTAAAATGAGCAAGAACATTTTCACTTAACTCATCTTTCCTGTGAATTGCAAATTACTGGTAATCCTCAAGTCACAAACAAAATATATATCACTAAGTGAAACATTTGTTAAGTGAGTTTTGTCCCATTTCACTATTTTTTTTGCCATCATTGCTAAGCGAATCACTGCAGTTATTGAGGTAGCAATACGGTTGTTATCTGAATCTGGCTTCCCCACTGACTTTGCTTGTCAGGAGGTCCCCTTTTGTGACCTGACCCCGTGACACTGCCATCGTCATAAATATGAGTCAGTTGCCAAACATCTGAATTTTGATTACATGAGCATGGGATGTTGTAATGGTTGCAAGTGTGAAAAGCAGTCATAAGTCATTTTTTTTCAGGGCTGTTGCGACTTTGAACGGTTAGAATAGAATAGAATAGAATAGAATAGAATAGAATAGAATAGAATAGAATAGAATAATGGAATGAAGGAATGGAATGGAATGGAATGGAATAAAGGAATGGAGTGGAGTGGAATAAAGGAATAGAACAGAATAGAATAGAATAAGGAAATAATAGAAATAGAAATAGAATAGAATAGAATAGAATAGAATAGAATAGAATAGAATAGAATAGAATAGAATAATGGAATGAAAAAATAGAATAGAAAAAGAGAAGAGAAGTTAGAAGGTACCTTGTAGGTCATCTAGTCCAACCCCCCACCCAAGCATTTCTGACAGATAGCAGTCCAGTCTCTTCTTGAAAGCTTCCAGTGATAAAGCTCCCACAACCTCTGTTCCATTGGTTGATTGTTCTCACTGTCAGAAAGTCTGTTGTAAGTTTGAGGACTACCTGAATTTAGCCGGGTTTTGGTTTCAATAGGATGAAGATGCGGAGAATCCAGAGAAGAGTGACGTGATGGCTCACCCCATTGCAGAGCGCCTCGACATCTTGATGATTGTGATGTTTTCCTACATTAAAGATGTCTGCTACGTTAACGGTAATAAGCCTGGGGCCGTTTCCCAAGCATTATTTGGCAGTGCTCAGCTGAGCATTTGGGCTTAATGTAGGCGACCCCTTGAAAGGAATTCCTGGATGATGTTGTAGCACATTGCCATAATTCATAATTTGGGCATGTAAGTGGAAATCACGTCATCTTTTAGCTCCACAGTTTCTGTTTCTCTTAAGCCAATTCAAGTTCTTCTAATTAAGGACAATCTTCACCCCTTCATGGTTTTCAGAGGATGCACCTTATAGTTAGTTATATTAATTGTAGAACATTCAGCATCTGAAAGTTGGACAAACGAACAGCCTTTTTAAAAAGTTCCTCATTTTTCTTAGCCTATAATTCCAGGCAACATAAATGTTTTTATTCCTAGGGAAAATTGACGTTGGCAACACCAAAGACTTATACCGAGACCTTGTGGCTATATTTGATAAGCTGATTTTAACCACCCACGGATCATGTCATGTGCAGTTCATCATGTTCTACCTCTGTAGTTTCAGACTGGTAAGTAACCAAATAAACTTTTATTCTCTTCCTTCTCCCTTTAACTAGATCTTCCTAGCCTTTATGTGAAACTGGCTAAAACTTGCCAAGTTACATCCTGCTATTGACCTCACCCAAAATCTCTGACAGAAAATAGTTATTTGCTTTTGGTTTAATTGGACAAGAAGCACATTGGTAACTATTGATGTATTTAATTCTTGTTCTGTTCCTTTGTCATTGTTTGCTTTATTGTTCCATTAATTTACTTCTGTTTGAACGCCTTTTCATTTTTCTTCCTTTTTATTGTGGTAAGTCACCTAGAGTAGTCCCACAGCAAGATAGGGGGCAAATAAACTTAACAAATAAATAAAATAAACCTTTGATTTTTGATTTCCAATTATTTATAGTTAATTTTTCCCCTTAATTGACTGACTGATACCTGTGGCCACTGCCCCAGCCTTAATAGCTTTGTATGTCCTCCAGATAATTGCAGAGGCTTTTCTGGAGCATCTCTGGAAAAAACTACAGAATCCAAATGTTCCTCCTGTCATCCGGCAAACCACTGGGAACTTCATTGGCAGTTTTTTGGCACGGGCCAAGTTTATTCCCATTGTGTAAGTAGCTCACAAGAGTGATCCTCGGGATGGATTAACCTGCCAAATAGGGCTACATCCCAAAGATGTCAGCCCACTTCTGGTTACTTAGCCAGGTTTTATTTTTTAAAATCATTTCAGGACAGTGAAAGCCTGCTTAGATCTCCTGGTTAGCTGGCTGCACACCTACATCGACAACCAGGGCACGGGGTCCCGAGCATTTTGTGATGTTGCGCTCCACGGTCCGTTCTATGCAGCCTGCCAGGCTGTGTTCTACATAGTCATCTTTCGCCACAAGCAGATCCTGGATGGAAACCTCAAGAAAGGTGAGCAGAAATTCACCAGACAAGGAGAAGAGATGGGTAGAACATGTCCGTTTTGGACCTAGATGTAGGAGAAGGACAGGCAGAGCCTGGGGTGGAGTCAAGAGAGGAATTAGCCTAGAATCATTACCTTCCCACAAATAGCCTGTTCTGACCAAGGCTTCCTGAGACCGTAATTAAGCACACACTTAGTCGAAACAACTCTTGTTTTATTTCAACGCTGGGAATTATGTTCATTCCCAGCCTGTAGTGAGTCCCAAACAATCCCTCGAGATAAGCACCCACCTTTCTCTCCTTTGAATTGCTGCCAACAACTAAAGTGCCAAATTAACTGTAAAAAAAACAACCAAAGTACAAAGTCCACGTAGAGCTTCAAGGATTAATCCGAACAGAACAAACCACTTTGCTTCCTGCAAAGGTTTCTCTACCTTTGCACTTCCTTTATGTCTTATAGGAGGGGCAATCGCCTCCCAGCCTTACTCCTGAGTCACCCCTTTTGTCTCATCTGCTTTCACCTTCTAGCAGCTCTGCGCATACGCAAGCTGGGAACAGGCTCCCCTTGTTCCTCAGCCTCACTGCTGCCAGATTCTGAAGGCTCCGGAGTCAGCACCCCACTCCCAGATGGTCCTGGCCCCATCCCTGCATCTAATGTAGGACCCTCGTCTGAATCCTCCCCAGACTCCCAGACTGGTCCCCATTCTTCCCCACTGTACAATTCCGCTGTCGTCTGCACAGGCTGCCGGCGGACCACAAGACGGCCTACTTTTTCCAGTGCTGTTTCAAACTTTTTTCAGTGCTTTTGTAGCTTTGAAAAAGTTCACTAAACAAATGGTTGTAAATCGAGGACTATCTATATGCATTGTCCACATTGATCCACTAAGAATCTGCTACGCCATGTTTCCCGGAGAATGGTGTCTTTTAGAAGCCTCTGCAACATCAGAAAAACTTAAATGTATTTCTGTTAGAATCAAATTTTGTAAATTGTGGCACTTCATAGAAAGCTCAGATTCGATGTAGTAAATTCCTCTGGTCTTATGTTCTCAAGGTTTGGCCTACTTACAAAGCTTAAACTTTGAACGCATCGTTCTGTGTCAGTTAAACCCTCTGAAGGTCTGCTTGCCAACCATTGTGAGTCTCTTTGCTGCCCTGACCAGGTACAATTGTTTTCTTTCTTGCAAAGTTTGCTTATTTATTAAATGCATTTATTTACGTCAAAAATCACTGTAAACTTTGGAGTGGGTTGTAGAAGGACTATTTGTTGAATAAATATAGAAATGGGGTGTTAGTGGGACACATTTTTCCTTCTTACGTGTTTTAAATCAATCTCAGACAAAGGTATCCAGCCTTGGCAACTTTAAGACCTGTGGACTTCATCTCCCAGAATTCCCTAGCTAGCAATGGGGATTCTGGGAATTGAAATCCACAAATCTTAAACTTGCCAAAGTTGGACATCCTTGATCTAAGGTGTTTCTTGAATGCGAAAATGTAGAGACATCTCATCTGCAGCTCCTGCTGTTGCTCAAGCAGACAGAGGATTTGATGCATCAAGAAATGTTTATTAACCTCTTGAAGACCCAGATCCTGGGCCTACTCCATTTCCATGTTCCTAGGCTAGCCAGTGCAAAGATAGCAATCTCATATTTCTTCCTCTGTACCTGGAGAAAGGAGAGAAGGAAAAAAAAATTGAGAAGGAAGAAAAAAAAATCCTGCTTCCTGGTAGAAACTACCCTTATTCCACTGACATCCTGGGGATCTTTTCCCAATCATTTGGATCTTTTCCAAAGGAGGAAAGTTAAGGAAAGAGAAAACAGCAGTAGCTCAAGATATGGTATCCTTACTAACACAGAAGAAAGCAATTACAGTACTGGAGTGAAGAAAGAGAAGCTCCCAGGTAGCCAAGGGAAGAAGGTGTTTCCATACCTTGCCCTGAGAAGCTCTTGTGAAATGTAGAGGAAACAGGCGGATGAGCGTTTGTGAATTTAAAATTAACTTCTGTTTCCCTCCTTTTCCTCCTCCTCCTCCTCCAGGAAGTACCAGGTGGCCTTCTGTGACACCATCATCGAGAGAAACCGGAGACAGACAGTGCCAGTTGTCCGAAGCAGCTGTGGAGGAGAGTCTGTTGAGACAGCCACAAACCCACTTGACAGTTTTTTCCCGTTCGATCCTTACATTCTTAAAAGGTACCTGGTTGAGAAATGGGCAACCCTCACCCCAAACATGCTTTTTAGTTCTTTTCAAATCCAGTGGGCAAGCTGTGATTTATTTATTTTTGACCCCCTGTTTGTTTCATCTCCTGCCTTCCAAACACCTTGGGTATTCACTATCAGCAGTTATAGTCAGTGGTTCTGCTGACTAGGAATCGCGGGACTTGGAAGTCCATCATATTGTCAACTCATAAAATATTTCTGTGGTCTTTTTAGAGTTGCCATCAGAAAGGGAGGGGGAAGCGGTGCAGTAGTTTGTGAATCGAAATTGCATTCCACAGATGTTTTCAAAGATAGTAACTAGGTGACTGAAGTTTCTGCCAAGCAAAATTCTAATAAGAGCATGATTGATGACTCTTGGCTATGGATGTGTCCCATTGGAGAATATGAATTATGATATACCCAGGGGCTGGAGGGAAAACCAGGGTCAAGGGTGACAATGAATGATGTGCCTCAGAGTTGGGCTACACCCAGGCAGTGCCAGACATGTTAACTCCCAATAAATCCTTTTTAAGTTTGGCTCGAGACTCATGATTTAAATGGGGGTAACTGCCAGAATCCTGACACATATCTGGAAAGGCACAGGCAGTGAAATACTGATCTATCTCCTTGGAAGAGTTCAAGACAACTGAATTTTGGCCACATTATATATATGTAAAAAGCAGGGTTGTGTTTTATCGGTTGTGTAAGACGAGCAAAAATAGATAGGCAGTGGTGACTTCTGAACATTTATACAGAAAAGACTTTAGCAACGCTTCATTATAATTGGAAACGTCACAGCCCATCTCCTAACAGGGCTTCAAGGTTGCTGTATTTTTGTGCAAATTAGGACCCCTAATTTAGAGTCAACCTTGGAAGCCCATTTCTCCTTTGTATACCATGTTTTCCCGAAAATAAGACCCTGTTATATTTTTTTTGCCACCAAAAAAGGCACCAGGTCTTATTTTCGGGGGATGCCATCCACTGACTGACTAACCTCACTTGCGTGCGTCTTCCCCGGCCTCCTTTTTGCTGTCAGAGGCTTTTAGGAACTACTACTGTGGCTGGCAAGGCTTTCCTGAAGGCCACTGCAGCCAATAACAGAGCTCTGGATCGATCCAAAGCTTTGTTATTGGCTACAGAGGCCTTCAGGAAAGCCTTGCTAGGCGAGGCAAGTGTTGGGGTGTGCAAGGCCTGAGTACAACTGTCCAAAGATAAGTTGTAGGGCAGCTCCAGCCCCCACTCCCCCATCCTCACCCTAGCTTAATTTTTACCCCTACACTCTGGAATGGGTGGGATCTTAATTAGGGCTTATTTTTGGGGGTAGGGCTTCTATTGGCACACATAAACATCAAGCTAGGACTTATTTTCAGGGTAGGTCGTATTTTCAGGAGAAACGGTATCTCTCATCAACTAAATGTTGTGTACTTCCAACTCTACAGTTCCTGTTAAGCAACACCTCTTGTTCGACTTTCCCTCTCCTGGCCTCTTTCTTATCTCCTATTTCTCAGGTCAAAGAACACAATCAATCCTTTGTATCAGTTTTGGGAAGAGCAAAGTGCTGAGGACCTCAAAGAGACAGCAGAACCCAGTGAGGTGAGCAGTTTCGTTCAAGCTCCCTCAGCCGGTGTCCTTGCGAAGAATATTTGCTTCTCCTTTGGGCTGGGAAGTTTGCTAATTCCCACACATCTGGGGGGGGCTTCAGTTGAAGGAGGTCAGCTTAGATCATCAGTGGGGAACCTGCAGCTCCCAGATGTTGTGAACTCCAGCATTTTCAGCGTCCTTGATTCTCCTGAGATGGTAGTTCAGCAACCACCCCGCAACTCCAGGGCAGAGCAAGTATCTCCCAACCTTGGCCATTACGAGATGTGTGAAGTTCAATGCCCAGAATTCCTCAGCCAGCTGGAGAATTCTGGAAGTTGAAGTCCACACATCTTCAAATGGCCAAAGTGGGGAGGTACAGAGGTGGTATTCAGCCAGTTCTGGAGAACCAGGAGCGGAAAATGTGAGTAGTTTGGAGAACTGGCAAATCCCACCTCTGACTGGTCCCGCCAACCCCACCTATTCTCCGTCTCCCATTGAGTCCCAGCTGATCGGCTGGGTCTTCTTTGGTTGCCCTGCCCAGGAGAACGGAGCTGGAAAGCAGGTTAGTGGGGTGGGATGGGGATTTTGCAGTATCCTTTCCCTGCCACACCCACCAAGATGCCCAAAGCACCGGTAGTAAAAAAAAAAATTGAATCCCACTACTGGGGAGGTGCTGTTTTAAGTCACTGTATTGCCTTTTTCTTTTGAACTGTGGTGTGTTTTTGTGCAGGGCAAAGGTGAAGAGGAAGACGATTTCTTGCAGGGTGAAACTCCCCAAAATGATGGCATGATCAGCGTGACGCCAAGCTCCTTCAACGCCCTTGTTCAGAATTCAGAAACCAGTCTCGGATCACCCAGTTGAACTGCAGCTGCAGCTCTGGTCTTTGGAAAAGAAAACGGAGAGCAAGGATATTTATATGCATAAGAGACCCTTTGCAGGAGACGGGGGAACAGTTTTTAAAGGCTTCCTTTCTTGCAGTAATTCAGATATCAAAACGGAAAGTTTGCATCCCAGACAGGGTGATGATGTGAAACTTTTTGTACTTATTTACTACAGAAAGCTGTTAAGTATCAGAAGCATTCAACTTTCACATTACTTTTTTTTTTATTTTCCTTTCGTGTTTCCCTGTTTTGGGACAGATCCCCTCAGATTAAACACAAGACTGTGATTCCAGACAATGGGAGTGCTGCATGTTGCTGCCTATGGAATAAAAAGGCAACAAACAAAAGAAAGAAAGAAAGAAAAAGAATGAAAGAAAGAAAGAAAGAAAGAAAGAAAGAAAGAAAGAAAGAAAGAAAGCAAGCTACATTTTCAAAGCAAACTTGCTAATCAGAATGCAGTTTGGTGGAGTGAGTTAAGGTCCTGGCCTAAAAACTAGGAGACTGGGAGACATAGTCCCATTTTAGGCATGAAAGCCAGCTGGGTGACTGGGCCAGTTCAGTCCAAGCCACCTCATAGCATTGTGGGGAAAATAGGAAGAAGATGTATTAGATAGGTTCTGTGCCTTGCATATGTATAAAAATAAAGGGATGACAAAAACAATTAAAATAGAGAATGTTCCTATCTATTCCCCAGCTCAAATAGCAGGAAGCGATCTCTTAAAGGCACAAGAGTCCCAAGAGGACAAAGGGATGAAACTGCTTTGCTTTTGCCCTTTTTTTTTTTAAGTGACTCACTGGCACTGGGTTGTTTGCAATCCTAAGTAAGAGAAAATGGAAGGAGCGTATGTTTGGACAATTCAGCGAAGAACAAGCACGTTCACAATGGCCTTCCCTAGCAAACTCTGGCAGACACAAGGTGCAGAATATAGAATAGAATTAGAATTAGAATAGAACAGAATAGAATTTTTTATTGGCCAAGTGTGATTGGACACACAAGGAATTTGTCTTGGTGCAAATGCTTTCAAGTGTACATAAAAGAAAAGATACATTCGTCAAGAATCATCCGGTGCAACACTTAATAATAGTTATAGGGTGCAATAAGCAATCAAATCATACTAGGAAACAGTCCATATAAAATTGTAAGGATACAAGCGACAGTTATAGTCATACAGGTCACAAGTGGGAGGGGATTAATAGTAATGCAGACTGTAAATATTTGGACAGTGTTGAGGGAATTATTTGTTTAGCAGAGTGATGGCGTTCAGGGAAAAACTGTCCTTGTGTCTAGTTGTTCTGGTGTGCAGTGCTCTATAGCGTCGTTTTGAGGGAAGGAGTTGAAACAGTTTATATCCGGGATGTGAGGGGTCTGTAAATATTTTCACAGCCCTCTTTTTGATTCATACAGGTCCACTATTGAAGGCAGATGGGTAGCAATTGTTCTTCCTGCAGTCCTAATTATCCTCTGAAGTCTGTCTGTGTCTGTCCTGTCGGGTTGCAGAGCCAAACCAGATACAAAAATGAAATGAGAAAGTTTCTACCTAGAGGATTCTTTAGCAAAAACACATTTGCACAAACATATTTATCGGGACTTCTTCAAAGGGCTCCTGGTCCCTTTAAGAGGAAAAGATTCTTCCTGTATAATTTATTTCACTTTACCTTCACGCTGTTAAGGGGGGATTTTGTCTGGGCTGTATTGAAAAAGTGAGTTGGAATACCTTTCTTAGAAAATTTGAAATGAATTTGATTGTTGTCCTCAAAATTACAGTGTTCTGGTCTTTTTGTCAACAAGCAGTCTTAAGTATGGCTACCACATTGGTCTTCTCCGAAGACTTGCATTGGGCAGGAAGGGAGAAGAACTCTAGAAAAAAAATGAACAAGCCATGATTGGCTTTAATTGTGGTTTGAATAAGCTATGCAAACTAAACACACTTATTAGCTTCATGCAATGCATCTAGAATTTACTTTTTCTTGATACTCTCAAGAACAACTATAACAGCTATTAACGTAATAAAGGCCCCATTGGCTCTGCCAAAGGAATGAGGTAACAGTGAAGCTTTCAGATTTTAAGGTGTGCAAATATTAAGATAGAAATTAGACAAAACAAGCAGTTCTTATTTGGACAGACTTTATGATTAATAGTTTTAGGATAATCTTTTTAAGTCTGCATTTCTGATTTAACAGCTAGGGTTCTACAGTTTTTCTTAAAACCAGCATTTCATGAATTAAATCTTATTCAAAGGAAGTGCATTGACTTCAGTGGAGTCTTGATTCATACCAAATGTAATTAAATCTGATTAGGATTGCAGTTGTGCCCCCTCCACTCCATAATCTGCCTTTTGCCAGTGGCTGTTTTACGCACATTTTAACTAGCACGTTAACTAGCCAACCAATCTACAAGTTTTCTACTCCTTTGAGTAAAAATTAACGGAGACACAATCCTCATCAATATTTTGTCAAGGAACCTGCTTGGGAATTTAGCGACCTGAGGGGCTTCTGGTTATTACCTGTACCTCAACTTGTCTTCTGTAGTTGTTTGGGGGAAAATAAAGAGAAATAGTTTAGGAGGAGGAGGAAAGAAGAGGAGGAGGAGGAGGACGGGAGGAGGAGGAGGAAGATGACTATGGGGTCCTCGGTGGTCTCAGAGTTTGGTTGTTCTCCTGCAAGGTGTTTCATGACCCAACTAGGTAACCTCTTCAGTGTTAGAAGAGAGTGAAGATGACGGAGCAGAGGAGGAGAACTGGGGGGTCCTTGGTGCTTTCTGAGCTAGGTCCGTTGGCTTGCAGATGTTTCATGATGCACCTAGTGGACCTCAGGGCTCCCTGAGATTGAGACCCCCCCTCCAGATGTGGCAGGACCACAGCCCTACCCGGTCCCCTCTCCAAGCTCTTGCCAAGGTGGGAAGCCACCTGAGCGTTGCAATCCGTAGCAGAGCCCAGGTGGACCAACTCACCTGATCCAACAAGCTTGGGGTGCCCCCAGCAAGCCCACCTGGACCGGGGGGTTGCAGGTCATTGGAGTCCCTGAAAAAAAAAACCCCTCCCTCCCCAATCGGAGGCCGAGCCCGGGGTGAGGGGTGGGGGGGTTGGTGAGGGTCTCCTCCTGAGCTCCAACCCCCCCCTTCCTCCTCTCCGGACTACATTTCCCAGGGCGCTTGGCAGGCGGGGCGGGGCCTGAGTCCAGCTGGCGGCACCGAAGCAGGAAGTCGCCCTGCAGCAGCTCCGGCGTGGAGGCTGCCCGACATGCCTCTGCTGGTGGAGGGGCGGCGGCTCGACCCGGCTCGGCCTCTCCGGGAACTGCTGCGCGCCTTCCCGGAGCTGGAGGTGAGCGGGAGGGAGGGAGGGAGGGAGGGGAGGGGCTCCTGCGTCCAGGTGAGCGCCGCCGCGGGGCTCAGGTGTGCCCTGCTGCGCCTTGCGGGGATGCTGCAAAGGGCGGGGTAGGTTGGGGACCCTCTCCCGGGCCGGGCTGGCGAGGGGGTGCGGGGAGAGGTGGTCTTCCTCTTGGGCGAAGCGGGGGAAGAAGAAGCCCCTGGGGAAGGCGGGGCTGGGGATCTCCCTCCCCCCCTCCATGCACCTGGTGGGTGGGTGGCAGGTATTGTCTAGGGGGTTTACCTGCTTGCCTGCCTCCCTCAACCTGTGCTTTTGCCCAACCTGCTGTGCTAGTTGACGATGGAGATTCTCCATAGTCCTCCAGGTTGTCCCAAAGGTGCTTCCCCCGCCGCCCCCCAAGAGGCAACTGGACTTTCTAGTTTTGTTTTGAAGACCTTTCGCTTCTCACCCAAGAAGCTTCTTCAGCTCTGACAGGATGGTGGGGAGGAGGAGGAGGAGGAGGAGGAACAGAAGGAAGGAAGGAAGAGAGAGAGAGAGAAAGGGAGAGAGAGAGAGAGGGAGGGAGAGAAAGGAAGGAAGGAAGGTAGGTAGGTAGGTAGGTAGGTCGGTTGGTCTATGGAGATTCTCCATAGTCCTCCAGGTTGTGCCAAAGGTGCTTTCCCCCCTCGCCCCCCCCCCCAGGCAACTGGACTTTCTGGTTTTATTTTGAAGACGTTTCACTTCTCACCCAAGAAGCTTCTTCAGCTCTGACAGGATGGTGGGGAGGAGGAGGAGGAGGATCAGAAGGATGGAAGGAAGGAAGAGAGAGAGACAGAGGGAGGGAGAGAGAGGGAGAAAGAAAGAAAGAAAGAAAGAAAGAAAGAAAGAAAGAAAGAAAGAAAGAAAGAAAGAAAGAAAGAAAGAAAAAGAAAGGTCTATGGACATTCTCCATAGTCCTCCAGGTTGTCCCAAAGGTGCTTTTTTTCCCCCACCCCAGGAGCAAGCCAAACAGTTCCGCAGCCAACCTGCTCAAGCGGTGGGACCAAAAGGACTCCTTTATGTCCAGCAAAGAGAATTTGCAGCCACCACGTCCAAAGATGGTAGGTGGAGCTCGAGTGAGTTATGAAGTCTCAATCCAAGAGAAGACAGCCGAGATCTTATATGATGTTCTCCCACTTCCTTGATAGGTTCTGTTTCCATTCTTGGTTCAGATGATGCCACGACGTGCCATTTTGTGGTTCTGAGACATACAGGTACTGAGATAACTGGAAAAAAAAAATCCCTGGTTTGGTTCCCATAAAAGTAGACATTTATCAAGTTTCGGGTAGCGGGTTTAGAAGTGGAATAAGAGTTTAATGGAGATAGACTAAGGTTTTGTCTTCTTGGCTCCAGTGTTTAGAATAAGCATGACAGAAATCCACAGATCTTGTCACCTCTGGCCATAACCTCAGTGCCTTTCAGTTGAGTGATCTTCAATCCCTCAAAAATCTTTGGCTGATATTGTCTCTAACGTGTGTTTTGATAAGTCTGTTCTGTCTAGTCTGACGAAAAGGTGGACTAAGGGAGACATGATAGCAGTGTTCCAGTATCTCAGGGGCTTCCCCAAAGAAGAGGGAGTCAAGCTATTCTCCAAAGCACCTGAGGGAAGGACAAGAAGCAACGGGGATGGAAACTAATCAAGGAGAGAAGCAACTTAGAACTAAGGAGAAATTTTCTGACAGTGAGAACAATTAATCAGTGGAAGAACTTGCTTTCAGAAGTTGTGAATGCTCAAACACTGGAAGTTTTTAAGAAGAGATTGGGCAACCATTTATATGAAGTGGTGTAGGATTTCCTGCCAAAGTAGCGGGTTAGACTAGAAGACCTTCAAGGTCCCTTCCAAATCTGTTCTGTTCTATTCTATTCTATTCTATTCTATTCTATTCTATTCTATTCTATTCTATTCTATTCTATTCTTCTGTATTCTATTCTCTATTTTATTCTCTATTCTATTTTCTATTCTATTGTGTTCTATTTTGCATTCTCTTCTATGCTATTCTATTTTATTCTGCATTCTGTTCTGTTCTGTTCTATTCTGTTCCGTTCCACTCCACTCCATTCCATTCCATTCCATTATTCTGGAGAAAAGTTCTTTACAGCTACGGTTTTCCATAAGATGCAAATTCTCATTGTATTTTTTCTTTTCTTTTTAGGGAGTGGAGCAATTTGTCTAACTCACTGTGATGGCTCAGATACCGAAACAGAAGTCCTGCTGATCGTAAATTCAGTAAAAGTGCTTTCTCTAAGCACTGAATGTGGAAGGTCAGTTTTTTTGTTTTTTGTTAATAGTCCTTTTAAATAATCTGGTGAAAAGTTGTGGCTTCATACTTCCCAGCTGCTTTCTACCTCTTCAACCGAATAGTTAAATTCAGGCAGTCCTCGACTTACAACAATTTATTTAGCAACCATTTCAAATTGCAGCGGCAGTGAAAAAATTACAACGGGTCCTCGCACTTAATACCATCATGTCATCCCCATGGTTGCCTGATAAAAATTTGGATGCTTGGCAACTGGCGCGTGTATTTAGGATTGTTGCAGCATCCTTGTCAACGTTCCAAGTAACATACTCATTAGAAAGTAGAACTCTGAGGCAGGTAGATTCCTCAAAGGACAACTTTATTGGATACATCACATTGGCACAACTAGTGAAAGAAAACCAACTCTGGAAGTTCCCACGGTTTCCCTCTAATTAAAAGAGAAAGATTTTCCCCTTTCCCCGAGTCATCAGTCACATGGTCCAATCAAAGTGCTGGCCAGTTGCTTGGTTACTTCGCTCCTCCTCTCCCAGCCACCTGTCGGAATGACCTTGGTTCCCATAGGAAAACCTTTTGTTTTGACTGCAAAACCCCAGCTAGCTATTTCCCTCCCCCTCCCATCTAGTGGCAACTTTGAAGCTTCAAAAATGGCCCCAGCCAGGTTTTCTTTGGGATTAGCAATATTGGGTTCATGTGAACACAGAACTCATGTGAGACCTTCCCAGTCAGCTTCCAAAGTCAGTGGAGGAAGCTGGATTCTCATAACGACTGGGTGATTCACTCAACAATTGCAAGGATTGGCTTAACCATGGCAAAAGAGGTCGTAAGAGCACTTAACCAGAGATCGTAAGACTCGCTTAACAACCGCCTACCTTAGCAAACAGAAACTCTGTCTCGAATTGTGGCTATAAGTCGAGGACTTACAACTATCAGAATGTCCCTGCTATGCATCCTGTATTGTAGTTACTTACCCAGAAACAAAATGGAATCATAGTGAGAAATACGGTAATCGTCATAATAATAAAAGGTTGCATTTTGACATCCAGCCGAATTCATTCCAATTCAGTCTTAAAAGGGATTGAAAAGTGAAGGAGTTTTTCTGGATTTTTGTGTCTGCTAGGCTGGAGTTGCACCTGGTCGGAGGGTTTTGTGACGATAGGCGCTTGTCTCAGTGTCTTACCAGTCAACTGTTAAGTAAGTTTTGTGTTTTTGGCTTTGTTGGGGTCTTCATAAAATTTTGAGATTCTCATTGAAGGAGAATAAAGTTGGCCAGTTGTGGGAATTTTGTGGACTCAAAAGCACCCCAAAAAACAGATTTTAGAATTAGAAGAACATTATTGTCATTGTACAAGTACAACGAAACTGTGGATGCACCCCAGCAACACAATAAAACGAAAGCACTTAAAAATGAAGATAAGAAAGATAGAGTACCCACGTCTCCATTTGCAATTTGAGAGTACAATATCTATCTGCTTTAGGGAAAGGGTTTACATGATGTAGATTGTAGCAAAGGGAGCCAGTTATATTTATGGAGAAGAGGTCTATTGGGAATGACTTATTCCCTCATCACTATCCAACTATTTACAAAGTCTGCACTACTATTACTATTAATCTTCTCATCACTCCTTATCACCCATCCCCTCCCACTTGTGACTGTATGACTGTAACTTTGTCATTTGTATCCTTACAATTTTTATTGACTGTTTCCTAGTATGATTTGATTGCTTATTGTACCCTATGACTATTAAGTGTTGTACCTTATGATTCTTGACTCTTGACGAATGTATCTTTTCTTTTATGTACATTGAGAGTGTTTGCACCAAGACAAATTCCTTGTATGTCCAATCACACTTGGCCAATAAAGAATTCTATTCTATTCTATTCTATTCTATTCTATCCTATCCTATCCTATCCTATCCTATGTTGATGCCTACAGAATATACGATACCACTGATAGGAAGAGTAAAATGCTGGACTCTTTAGTTTTGGGTCACAGATTGCTCAGGATAAGTTTCTTGGAACTGATTGGCTGATTGTATCTTTGATTAAGCTAGAAATTTCATCTCATAAGGGACCAGTTATCCTGGGTGGGAAGCTATGGTATCTTGACAAACCCAGTCTGGAAACAGAGTGGAGTATTGAAATATTTTAATAATACAATTATTTTTCATCGTGCAGTCATCGTGTATTTCTTTCCTCGGTCTATGAGTTTCACAGTCTTTCCTTTTGTGTTCTTAGGAGCATTTGATCGCTTGTTAGATAATGTTTATTTGATGACATTCTGTGTCACAGGTAATTATATATGTCTTTATTGTCTGAATCAGTTTATAATGCAACCCACTTTCTTATGTTTTGAATTTTGGCCATCAGTTTTACAATCCTGGTGTCAGCAGAAAAATCTGTAAAACATTGCCAGAATTTTATAAAAACGTGACTTATTTTAACCTTGGTCACATAAACCAACTTCATGTTCCTTTTGTTCCTCAATCTTAATAATTGATTCATTCAAATGTTAACATAGGATTTGATCTCTGTTCAATTCTCCTTTGTCCCATTGCAAAGGGAAGTTATTTTCTCGACATGAACTACACCACTAGTCAAAAGAAGAATTCAATTTGTGAGCTTATTTCCCCCACTTCCACCTGAAATTTCTGGCTATGGTCCCTGGACCCTTAAAAATACTTGCAATATGGAATTCTTAATATGGCAGAAGGGAAAAATTAAAGAATGCATGGAGTGGAGTCATGCTTATTGTATTTAATTTAATTAATATATATAAAATGTAAATATAATCAAGTTTACTGGTTTCTCACCCCATGGCTTAGCATTATCTTGATCCTGTGTTCTCCTTTTGTGAGGATATTCTCTGTCAAATCTAAAATATAACTCCCCAGCTTAAAAAACATTGTGCACCCCAATCTGAAGTGACTTAGCTGTGCCATGACATACTTCCACTTTATCGCTTTTTTGATAGTCAATTTTTATGTGTTCATTACAGAACTAAATGATCGCCAAGAAAATGGCAGGCATTTGCCGTATATTTATGGAATTGGTGAGTTAATGTTTCTTGCATTTGAGACCAGGTTTAAAAACTGTAGTTTACAATTGTGAAGACTGGGTATTGCCACCTTAAAATTATTATTGTTTTAAACTGGCTCATTAAGATACCAATTAATGGAAATAAAAGATGCATGTTTTGTTTAACACTTAAAGAGAGTTAGTTTGATTTTTTCCTGTCTTATCAATTTGCTCTGTCCTTTGACTCAGTGTTTAATGGGAATTTCAGAACTCCTTCGGAAGGAACTTATTTTCTTATTATGTGGCTCCTTCCCTTCCAGCTGCGAATGTTAAAACGGGTGAGATTTTCCACGCCACGTTTCCAGACCGAGGACCAGATGAAGACATGCGGTCTGCCAGGGTCTTAGCAGGAGGAAAGGTTAGCAGTGATTGTACAAAAGAATGAGAAAGGGAACCAGACGGTCCTCTGCCACAGACTTACAATCTAAGAGATAAAACCTAGAAAAGAATTATGTAGCTCGGAGATGAACTATAGAGTCCTCGATTTTCTCTAAGCTTGGTTGTTTGTTTGTAGATATTTATTATCTGACTGGATATCATTAGTGTGAGGAAGTGTACCATTTGCTCCCTGGTTATATTAAGATGTGAGGGGGGGG